TGTGTCTTCCCACACCAGGCCCGAGCGCGACCTACGACCTTTGTCACTGCGCTACTCCTCCCCACAGCGTGGCTCCTACCTCCAGCCTGCTGAGAGCTCAGTGTCGTCTCAGCTCTACAGCATGCCCTACTCTGCCCTGCATCGTGCTAGCCCACAGCGGCTGGAGAAAGCCCCGCTTGTCAAGGTAATTCAGTCTGGCGTCTAACTTGATAACCGAATAGTCCCCTTGAGACAGTTAACTTATTTTACATGACATGTGCGCCGTAACTAAAATAGACACACCAGGCAGTCGGCTGAGAGGGGCCATGATGTATGTGGTGTTAACAAACTTGGTAATAGAGGCATTTGTCCAGAATTGAGGTTGAAAGATCAATCTGCTTGATGGTGCAAGGAATGAAAGCTCTATAATAGTTCCTAACAAAACTTAAAGCACCAATCAGAAAATATTTCCTGTACTTAGGGGGTCTCCCTTGTTGCTATAGCAGTTAAGAGTGCACACTGACAGCTGAAAGCAGATTTGTGAGACAACAGATTGATGTCACACCAGCACTGCTGCTGGTCAAGACTGTTACTAATCCAAAACCTATACTTGGTAATTTGATCCTAAAGTGTGGCTTATGTGATTGCCTTCTGTGAACCCAGAGAGCGTGAGAGAGGAAAACAGACAGAGACCGAAGGAAAATTGGCAACTGATTTTCCTCATTGCTTGTTTTAAACTAACTCCTGGATCTGTGAATCTTTTATGGTCAGTCTAACAGCTGGAGCACCCCTCAGACGTCCCTGAACTACTCCCTGAATGCCTCCCAGCGCCACTCAGACATGTGTGCGCCCCGGCAACCCTTGTCGCCCCTGTATGATGAGCCCTGCAGCCCCGAAATCTACTCCCTGGATGAGGCCAGGCCAATGGTAAGTGGGTCAACGATACTGGATCCATAGGTTCAATTTACACCTGCGCAGCCTGTCTAATATCAAGCAGTGCACACACACATACGCACCTGTTCAGGGAAAAAAGATCAGGTGCTGTCAGTGCAGAGGGTTGGCCACCTGAAGAAAAGTCAGCCTCATTCACATGCATGTAAGAGTAACATCTAAATGTTTCACCATTCTTGGTTAATCACCCCAAACTAGCAACCAGCAGTTATATTTGATTATGTAAGAAAACAGGAATTATTTATCCCAAAATATATTTATTGCAGTTTTACCCTATTGACCAAAGATCTATTTGACTACCAGATAAAACTTTCCTCATATAGCTGCTGTGCTCTGACATGTACAAATCTGTTTTTTAGCAGCAAAGCTGGCAAGAGCCGATTCAGCACCACTACCACCACCAACAGCAGGAACTCCCCCAGCTCATTCCCTCCAACTTCCAGCTCTGCACCCCTCCCATGGGTAGGCGCTGCAGGAGAAGCCTGGTCCTGACTAACTCCCAGGGACAGGCTCTGGGCCTGGAGATGGAGACTCCTCAAAGCCAAGCAGAGCAAAGATCAGAGGCTGTGTCAAGGCTAAAGCTGCTGCCTGTGCCTGGCCAAGTGCAAGAGCAGGTGAGAAACACAGACATACTCATCTCCCAGGACACTCTGGTTTCTGGAATGCTGTCGTACAACGTGCAACAGCGGTGCGCTGTATGGAAGCGTGAATATGTGTATGTACTTGTTCAGCAGATGATATTTGAACAGGTGCCACAGATGAAACAGATATTTTAGGGAACGTGAGAATGTTTGTTATAGCTGATCACAGGAAGTAACTTTCTTTTGTTTTCACATCTGTTGTTAGATTCTCCTCCCGTCGAGCTCTGTGAAGAACACCTCTCAGATGCCTTATGGTTACTCACCAGGTAAGAACTGAAGGCATGCAATCATAAACCTGATGAACTATTCCTTTGTTGATGTGTGGTTTCAAGTTCAAGTCTGTTCAACTTGATTTTATAATAATATGATTATATGCTCCTGAAAAAAGCAATTTAATTAAAGATATTTAACGTTGTCAAACAAAAAATAGCATGGCTAAATAAAATGTATATTTCTATTAAGAAACAATGGGCACTCTTTCAAATCGCAGCTGTAACACTGCGGCATCATATTTCGTCACAAGTGTGAGTTATGAAAGTCAATACTGCCAGCCACCTTCCTAAATACCACCAAGGACACACAACATTGCTCACGCTCAGTTACACCTTAAATTAAACACTGCATGCACTTTGGATTGATTGAACTCTTGGGTCTGTCAGCAGGTAGACAGAAGGCTAAAGGCTACAGAATTGAAAGTGCAGGAAATGCGCAAATGTGCCAATGAAATGGAGCTTAGCGCAGCTCTAAATGCCATCTGTGCAGATGTCCCGTGTGGGGGAAGCACAGTGTAAGAGAACACTGTTTCACAGATTGACAGCACACAACTGGGCATGGTCACACACTTAGCCTATTTTATCACACAACTAGAACTGACCTGATAATTGCATTTCACTTTGATTTACAGATGAATTCTTACCTGTGATCAAATTATTTAATCTGCATGTTTCTGCTGTATTAGATAGAGAACATAAAAAATAATAAAGTTGGTGTGGCAGTGGCATGTTACACTACAGGTTTTACAGTCGGTTTATATGTTGGTACAAGGTCATTCACACAACAAGTACATTGGGAATGTGTTTATTCAGTTGGGGCGTCTTTCATTGTTTAAAACTAAAAGCCTGGGAATCTTCTCTCACTCCTATAGATCACCACTCGTACCTTGAACCCACAGAACCAGATGACCAGGAAATGGACTATGACAACATTTGGGAGTACGACTGTGAAACTGGAATGATTCAGCCAACGTCTGGAATTTCGACACACTGGACAGGATTAGACTTTGGGGCCAGAGGCCTTGGTGCCATGGCAACCCAGCAGAGATGGTCATAAAACAAAACAATAGCCCGGCACTCGTCTGGACGTGTGCAAACAACAGATCTCTATCAGAGGGATAATAAAAGCCAACTAGCACGGCCTGTGTTGCTCCTGCTGCATACAGTATGAACCAACAAATCACATGAACTGTGTTGTTAGATGACGGGTAGTCAAGCAGAGGAATGATGAGCGCAGGTATGAAGAGGAACGGGCTGAAAACAAAAGATTATGAAAGTGACAACAGCCGGACTTCAACTGTCTGTTTGATATGTAGCATTCAAGAAAGAATACAGCAGAGTGTACATACTGTGTAGCTTTAATGTTATTTTTTAATGAGTTATATAATTGCACTAAAGGTTTCATATGTAGTGCAAGAACCTCCAGTTTTTTTTTTTTTATATTTAAAGTATTTTCTAACATGCTGTCCAGTTTACTTATTGTGATATTTTTTTTGTTTTTTGATTAAAGCTATAAAAGCATTCCATCAGGGCTTGTTATAGTAAACGATGTATATATTTGTATATGTTGTAGATGTATTATTTTATAATGCTACATTATCAAGGCAAATAGATGTGGCTTCAACTGACTGCCTTAAAGGTGCTAATATTACTATTACCAGTGTGGCTTCCTTTTTTCATTTTTGTTTGAGGTGTTTATTTATATTTGGAAATAAAACTGAAAAAATGAATTAACAAGTTTATCTCTGTTTTGTCTTATTCTAATGACACACAATAACGCTGCTATAATCGATATGTTTGTAATGTTAAGGTATCAAATGACAACATGAAAACAATGTGAAAGGGGTCCCTTGTATTGATCACCTGAATGTGCAGCTCCCCTCAGCTCTGTAGAGCTTTATAGTGAATTTCAACTCACTGTTTAGCTGTCCAGCTTGCAACTTGACTGTCTTGGTTTCCTCTCATGTCTTTTTCAGCCACAGCAGGCAGCTGTTTTCAGGGAAAAGGCTGTAAAAACCCACTGTACACTACTGCTTAGCACCAAACAGCAGACACACCAAAGTTAGTGACTCGCTGGTGAACATGGTGGAGCATTTAACAGCGAATGAGCCAGATATTTCCCTCAGGAGCTGGTGGAGATCAAAAACAAACCTAAAAGAGAAACAGGTGGCTAGAAGCACAACTCCAAATAAATGTTTACGTTGCTCCATAACTGCTGGATGTGTAAGCAACTGTTTGCCAACAAGTCATTGCAGGTACAAGACAAATCAGCTTTATTTGTATAGCACTTTTCAATACAGGTAACAAAGGGCTTTACAGCAAATATTGTAAAACACAGATATGTTGAATTAAAATGACTATCACACACAGTGGTGTGCAACGAATAAAGCATAAAAAAAGTCAATGTACAATTAAAGGAAAATAACTTACGCTTCATATAGTGGTTTGAATCCAATAAATAAAACATAAACACGTGAACATATAAATAATGGAGAAATAAAATAGATATCACACATTAAAAGCTTTTTTGTATAAATTAATCTTAAGAAGTGAGAAAAATTCAGTATGCTACAAAAAAAGTTTGTTGGTTGTTTTAAAGAAAGTAGTAAGACATGGAGGAGGTACATCAAATGAATGTCAAGATTTTATTTGGACATGAAAAACCAATGAGACACAACAGCAGACATGTTGTCCCTAATAAATGATGCACTCCCTTTCTGGGCCTTATAAACCAGTGAATCAGTGACCTTTTGAAATGACCGTCTAACCGTCGTTAGATGCACTATTGTTCCAAACTGCATCAAAATATCATCAGTTGTGTGTTTAAGTGCTGTGAGAATAATGTGACAGCTTCATGGACTGTGTTCATCAGCAGAAGGCTTTGTATTTTATAGCTCAACGTTGCCATCTGCTGGAGAAAAGTATGATCTGTGAAGAGGAGATGATCTACTGTATATATACACTTAGTATTATTATAATATAATACATATTACATAATTAATACTATCCTAAAAGTACTGTAAATGACTTTATAATAAGTAAGCTCACTCAGTCGTGATACCCCACCTTCTTACATGAGCATTCGTTGCCCTCTAGTGTTTGAAAAGTTTCACCTTCAGGTCTGAGGGCTTTCTAATAACAAGACATACAGCACACATCTCAGAGATCATTTTTACTGAAATACATCAACAGCTCACAGAGCAACTCATATGACAAAATACTGTACAGATATCTATAAATTATCTATCATGAAAATAAAATGCCCATCAGAAAAGATTAGTATACTATTTTATATAACAGGCTCAAACAGCACCTTCCTAAACTCTTTTAGTGCCTCAAGTTAATCCATTTATCACATCTAACATCTCAAATCTGTACATCTCTGAGTAAACCTGCTTCTAATCTTTCTTCAGCACATACTGAAACCTTATTTACAAATGTCTAAAGCCATCTTTCTGATAAATATACAATGTCTCATCTTGTCTTTTGTCTTTTCATATATCATATAAATGCTCTGACACTAAAAGGTCAAAATGTCAGCAAATGTATTTCGCAAGGAGCAAAACAACTGCTGTTAAATGAAACACTTTTCCATATTCATTCAATGGAGAAATTAGAAACATTTGTGACATAGAGGCAGAAACGTTAAGAATCAGATGGGACGGTGTATTGCAATTTCTTCTCATTGGCTGCCGCCTCCATCTTGACATATTTACGCAGGTATCGGATGGCTGACAGAGCACTTACATTTGCCAGCAGAACTGTGTGAAAATACATATAAAAAGTTACTCACAAGACTTACTGAATTTATCTATCCATATAAAGGTGATTTTATTTCTGTGCTTTGTTGATTTTAGTATTTGCTGGGAGACACATTTACAGCCTCAGAATAGCATCAACAGTCCTTAAAAAGCTGAAACGAACTGTTTTCAATATGAAATTCAGTCACTTATAACATTAATAGAAACATAGTGACCGCGTTTGACCGATTTCAGTTTTTAACAAAGTCTTTAAAAAGCAACATTTGCAGGTTTCCGTTATTTTAAAACGCATTAATGTTACATATCAACACACATACCAGCCTTCCAGGCATCTCCAACTTGTGGGTTTGCAGTCTTCAGCACCCATGAAGCAAATGCTATACAAACCAGACACATGTCTGACTGTCTGAGAGGCAGGAGGGGGACATCCAACCCTTCAAAGAAAGCGACACAGTATTATAGAAAACATCTTGATTCATTAATTCTGTCACACACACTTGTTCAGTGAGAGGTCAAGGGTATTATAATTGGCACTAACACACCAACAGCTGAGCACAAGCCTCCAATAATAAGTCGGGACTTCCTGTTGTGTCACACTGTAACCCGGTCAAACCCCAACAAGGCTGCTTGATGCTACTGATATTTGAAATTATGACTCTAGTGGCCTCAAAGATAATCCTCACGGGCTACTGCATCAGATGCTATATAAGTTATTATCTTAATTAGAGTTCACCAGACGTTTAAGAAGAGGGATTTACATAATACATAAAGACTCCTAAAGCTGCAGTTTTCCCTTCATTGCCAAACATGAATTAGAGTGCTATACAGGCAGCTTAGAGAGAGCACTCATTGAGTGAAGTCAAGTTATCACGTACAACCGTTCCTTTGGCTTTCACCACTACATGCCTGCAGTGCAGTCAGTGTCATCTGACAACTGAGGTAAGAGAGTCTGTCCCGGTCACGACTGTAACAGCTGACTGCGTCGATGACATTAGCTAAATTACAACTGTCCACATGTGAGGAAAACACAAGAGCTTAAATGAGAGCGGTTGAATACATTAACCATTATTGATACCCATTATTTTTTTATCCAGCAAAGGAAAAATGTACAGGTTGGATTAGAGTTATCATTATGGACCTGAATCACAAAGATCCTGTCTGTTAGACTGGTCCATAGAGTCAAACCAGTTAAACCAGTATTCATGATGAATCCTCTAATTCAATTTACAGTTGCACAAAGTTATTCACTATTTAGCCTGAAAACAGAACTAAGAGCTGTGTTTACATGGTAACAGTCAACATCACCTGTTGACTACTGAAATAAATACATTTGTGGTTTGCCAACACTGTTAAAAAACATTTACATGCAAATGCAAAGCAGTGTAGTAGTGATATGAAGATAAGAACTAATCAGCTTTGTGCAGATGATGAATTCAGGCAGCTATGTGAAGTCTGATTATCTTTGTAAAATCAGACCCTCAAGGTCAGCCCCTTCGGATCTTCCTCATTTTGCCCAGTGCATACTGGGACAAGCTACATGGAGATAAGTGGGTATAAAGAATGGATGAATGCACAACCACCATTTTCACTATAAAAATGTCGGACTCACAATGGACAGTATTAAAATTGATGATGCTGAACCAGAGATATTGGCTGTTTGAAATCGCACTCTAACGTACTGCCTGCTACATAATTAATCGGTATGTACTGCATGCTACCTACTAAATGAATGATTAAGAATGCCGTTACCAGCAGACTGTTCACACTTAAGCAACAGTCACATGACTGCATTACAAAATCACCATTGTGCATTTTAGGGCGGTTGAGTTTGTTCAGTAAAACTTACGCCGCATACTTAGAAATGACTGGTAATCTAGTATACACCGTTAATTTGACGTCACACTTAGCATGAATAGTACGTAAATATGTGATCCTGAACACAACCATTGTCTTTTTCTCCCCACATATTCTTCCTACTTGTCAACACAAGCTTTTTATTTTGTTAAATGTCAATTTCTGTTTTACCCATTGCCCTCAGTTGTGTTCTGTCTTTGTGGTGTCATCGTCTATGTTGAGTGTTCTGCCTTGTGCTCTGTTTCCCCGTGATTTGGATTATATCTGCCTGTTTGGACTTCTGTTACACCAAGTGTAAGCCTGTGAATTTATGTTGGACTATATTAAAATATCATCAACTGAACCTGCTTTGCTCTGGTGTCCTGCATTTGGGTCCACATTCAGTAATCCTGCCATAGCACTCAGCCTGTCTGAGGGCGCCTATGCTACCCACAATGTTACTCAACCGCTGACAGTTTGATTTGAGTGTGTTATGTTGGTAGCATCCTCTGCTATGTAGCCACGAGCAGCTAGCCTCAAGCAAAGACACGCCCAGACTTTTTTCCATCTTCAAACTTGAAGTCTTCAGCCCTAACCATTTATCAGACCTCACTCTGGAGCCACTAAAGGCTTCATACAACTTTTTCACATATGGAGTGGTGCTTTCCAAGACCTCTAAACAGAGTTTGATGTTTAAAATTGGTGCAGATCCCTTTTACGTGATTTGAACGTGAAAGCAGATCCAAGTCTTGTATTTTGAATTTTAGTGATGGAGCTTTGTTTACATTTTAATCGGTAAGATCCTAGCTGTTAAATACTGCATGTTAATCTATGAGGACTTTAACAGCATTCTGTTACAGTCATTGTAGAACCAAATTCGTATCTATAATGATGCATTATTGTGTGAAACTGGACTCACTTGGATTTGAAACAGCCGTCTGGAAGACCTCGTATCTCAAAGGCTCCTGTGCTAGTTGTCGGGAGATCCTGTCCTCCAGGTTGTAAAGCAGTGGATCAGGAAACATCATGTCTTGATTTCCAACAGCATTTATAGGATGAAGTGTCTTTCGAAGGGATCTGCCACTTTGCCTCACAGGTACAAGAGACAGAGGGTTTGAGAGTGTCTGCTTTTGGACTGTAGAGCCAGTAGACCTAATATTCCTGAAGGAGAGCGTGGTTTTCCAAAAGAAATTCTGTCGGAGGTCGCTATCTGTGAAGAAATGCTCATACATGTCTGTAGAAATCTGCGAAGCGCTTGACGTACGACTGAACCTGGTCACCACCCTTATAGGACCGCGGTCATCTTCTTCATCAGATTCCACAGAAGAATCATCAGAAGAGGAGGATGGAAAGAAATAATCATAAGCCTCAGGGAACTGTAGTTTTCTGTTAGCCGAGCGAGAGCAGGAAAAGATAGGAACCAGCTCCTCTTTGGCCTGATCTTCTGCTGTGATGAGAGGGTAAAAAAAGCTTTCTGTATCAAACTCTGAGAAGAAATGATCATAGGTTTCAGGGACAGAATTTCCACCAGTGTGGCAGGTGGTTATGTTATCTGTGGCTGATTGGCTGGGCATTGATTGCTTTCCACCAAAGAGGTACTGAAATATATCTGTAAGAGAGATTCTGTAGTTGTCTGTCGAAGATGAAGAACTGTCCATGTCTTTGTCTTGCTTAGACATATGTCCATCTGCGAAATATTCTACTTTTTCTAATTCTCCTTCATCTA